TTTACACCGTTGACACTACAAGCGTTGGGTAGACCTGCACAAATGACTGGTGAAACAGCTACCGCACAAGTTGTCTGGCTGGTATCAAACACTTTATACCTTAGGCCTTCCGCTTTGAACTACTCTATTTCCTTTCATTTGTTGTCCCCATGTATATTCAAAATGGGACAATATGCTTAAGTTTTGTTCAGAACTTCTCATAATGTTTGACAAAATATTTATTTAATTTTAAATAGTAGTCAGCATGGTTTTTCGAAGATCATTATCTACTGTAATTTATTTATTAATATTTTATTATTATTTAGTATCAGAAGTAAGTGTCGGTGGTTGTATCGATTGCTATAGAAAATTTTCCATAGTGTAAATCAATCTATATTAATTCAAAAATTAAAAAGGTAACTGAGTAAAGACTCCAGGGTTGTAATAGTTTTTGTCGTATATAATCGATAGAACACAACAAATAAAAATTGGAAAATATAGACATCTAATATAATAAATTTAACATCGGTGGTACCTTTAAGGGGTCGGTCACCAATTACCTTTATTACTCATTATTTTTATTAATGATTTGTGTGAAAAATTTAACCATTGTAAATTTTTTTTATTTACGAATGATTATTAAATTATATACGAGTTTAATTTTTAGTTTGCTCGATAATCGAATAAAAGTATTGAGATTGATTTATTTCAAAGTACTTAATATCCATCTTCACTCTCGCTTTAAATTAACACGCCATTTCAGAAACAGAGCTGTAGTTATTATTAACCAGTTAATAGAATGTGGAATATTTTTATTATTATTATTTAATTTATAAAATAATAACATTTACAATCTGTACATAAGAAAAGATACAATAAGCAAATAGGAAAAACAGAAAAAAGGGAAGATATCCAGTGATGGGACCCTTTTGACTTGATTTGGTAATTTAGCCATCAAAATATTAATTTAAAAGGTCACGGCACCAACGTCTTTTAGACAGCGAGGAGGGTTGTCAGGAATTGTAACTGTATGTTGGTTAGCAATTAATAAATTTGGATGTAGAAGTAATTTGGAGTGAAACTTTTTGTAGTATGATTTAACTAAAATATCGACTGGTTCAATGTTTAATTCTTTATGTAGGGTAACATAGGAGACGTATCAAGGTGCGAACGTGATTGTACGAAGGGAAATTGCTTGGAAAGTTATAATTGTTTTAAGCTATGATGTTTTGGCACAACCCCATATTTGGGCTCCGTATGACCAAATTAGTCTTAAAATTGACTTATAAATGATTATTTTGTTATGTATAGGAATTTTGGTTTTTAATACAGGACGTAATAAGTGGGATCTAATGTTTAATAACTTTACTTTGGATTTGAGATGAGGACCCCAGGTAAATCTTTTATCAAGGGTAATACCAAGATATTTGACTTGAGTTAAGGAGGGGATAGGAACTCCTCGGAAGGAGAGAATAGGCATATTATTGTTATTGATAGTGAAAGGAACATTTACTGATTTGTCTGCATTAATTTTAATTTTCCAATTTGTGGATCACTTATCTATATAGTCGAAGTGGAGTTGAAGAGCATTATAAGCTACGATTGAGTCTTTATTGGATGATAAAATGGCTGTATCAACAGCGTAGGTAGCCAAGGAGGTGTTTTGAGTTTTGGGAATGTCTGAATTGAAAATATTATATAAATCGAGGGAGAGGTCACTACCTTGCGGAAGTCCTGCTAGGATGGGAAAAAGAAAGGAATGAGAATTACTGTAACGAACTTTAAAGGTTTTGTTTTCTAGGTATGAACGAATAAGTAAGAATAGGGAAGCAGGAAGGAATGATTTAATTTTATAGAGTAAGCCAGGATGCCAAACTCTATCAAAGGCCTGAGCCACATCTAGAAATACTCCCGGACAATATTTTTTATTTACAAAGAATGATGAGATTATATCGACTAGCCTGCCCAGCGTGCATCATTGTGGATTATACGTTTGTAAACACTAAATCCACGGTGTATTTTAAAGCTGTGGATGGTTTATATATTTTTTTCGTTTTATTTAGTAATTAATTATCGTTCAGCTAATTATTAGGTGTTGTATAATGCAACTAATACGACGGTTATAAATAGTGGATTTTATGTGTAATCTATGGTATATTTTAAAGCATATTTTGCTTTATATTTATCTGTTAATTATACAATGAAACAACATGTTTTCGCCAGATAATAGTTGGTATATATTACGATGGAAGGAAGTTGTTTATTTTACATTTATTCAAGTGTATATTAAAAAAAAATGTTTAGATTAATTTGTTTGTTATACAATAATTCAACGTTCATTCGTTGTATATATTTATATGTTTGATTTTTTTAAAATTACTTTCTTTAATATTAGAAAGTAGTAATATATTCATTAATGAATACGTTATTTACCCTAATAATATTTGATTTGTATATAAAAAAGATTTGTATATAAAAAAGATTTGTATATTCAAAAATTAATTGGTGAAACAGTTTGGTAAATTATAAACTAGCTATTGTAACCTAAGCGTAATTACCGTGGTATAAAAGTCGTGTGTTTATTACAAATTACTTTTATCAATAATAATTCATAGCCAATGTTATATCACGACAACATTTTTATCCACTTCGAATATTTTGCTTAATTTTTAATATACGTATAGCAATCGTCACTATAATTTACTAATTAATATAAACTATTAAAGATTAATCATAAGTAGTTCTTCAAACTTAATTCCATTTTCTCGTATACAGTAAATTATGATGGAATAAATATGAAGAATACAAATGATGTCTTGAAGTTTATACTACAACTAAGGATTACATTAAAAGGTAAAAATGTTTTATTCATATTACTAAGTATTTCATGTATGCAATATTTTAAAAACTATAAAACTCTCCACATCATTGTGTATTGGATTTGATACTAGACAGGCTTTATTAAAACCGTTTTCATGATTAAAAATAAAGATTTCTAGTTGTCCCAAACTTTTGCATTTATATACCCCAATATCGAATGTTAAAATTTTTATGTCATCAGCCTTGCTGAAAAGTTCATTAATGAAAAGAAATCTCCGTCCTACAAAATGCATACAATTATTTTGTTTAATAAGATTTTCCACAACAAATATAATAATATTTTGGTCTTTCACTATTATACAATCATTACGATGGGTAAATTTACTTCTTTTTTCTTTAGCTCTTATTTGTATTTTAAAATGTTCAAATTGAATACACATAAATTGTTCATAAGTTCCTGTTATATGTAGTAAAGGTCCATTATTATGTGACGTAATCCAATATGGTGTACGGTTGAACACTGATATCACGTCTCCCGGTATACGGGTGAATACCACACACAAGTTTAAAATAAAAATAAAATGAGCTATAGTTATATATTGCGCTCTAATAATAATAACAGGTATATATCTATGTATATTGATATTTATATATATTTCTATGTTATTAATGATTGAGAATAGAGTTCCGCACGCGGCTACCGGCACAGACAGGTGAATTAACCACAAAAATTAGTAAGTAGATAATTGCCGTATGAATTATTGTTCCACAATCCACGTAAAGTAAAGAAAACACTCGTACACAGCGAAAACCAGTTCAGGTCAGCGTTGGAAAACGAACAAAACAGAAAAAGAAACAACACACCAGTTGAAGTGTACGTCGAAAACGGAACAGAACGCAATATCGGTAATCCATATTCGGCGGAGGCCTTATCTCAGTGTCAAGGGCGGAGAGACAAACGATGACAACCGATTGTCATATTAATAGCTGGACGGCTGATATCGAGAGAGACACGGGCGAGCGCCAGCCTAGAGCAAAAGGCGGTGCCGTGTCATATGTTTTTCTCTATAAATGGGAAAATCTTTTGAGGTAAGTAAAAATTTTTCATCACGTGCTGATTTGTCTTCTGTAATTCTATTATACATTTCTGTTATAGCATAACGTCCAGATTTTAAGTACTTTTTTAATCTACCCAAATAATTTTCATACCAAAAAGCATTGAAGTAATTGATGTTACTCCGCCATTTTTCTGTCTGTTACCACCCAATATCTACTCTAAATAGAACGATTTTGATTAACAATAAGTTCAAAAGATCATAAACCCTCGTTCCCCGTAAATGGGGGAAATCTCCAAAAAACTTACAAATTTAAAAATCTTTTTTTTTACATTTTTCAATTTTTTTTACTTAAAACTGCCATAACTTTTTCAAAAATGATCAAATCAATATAATTATTTTTTATAAATACATGATATCTTTAACTATCATTTGGTATATTTTTTTATAAATCTTACCCTTTACCTGCCCACACGGAGATATTAAAAATGACAACTTTTTCACAAAAAATTAACTTTTTCAACTCTTGAAAGTGTTACGAAATTTCTGACACTTTTATATTTATAACTAAAATTAAAGATAAAATAATATTACTTTTTATGGAAAAAAAAAATTTCGAGCTTTAATTTGTATTCACTGTAAAAATAATTACTGAATGTTATTGTGTGAAAATTCCCAATTTTATTTTTACATTTTTATGTTATAACTTATTGAAAAATGTATAGATCAATACAATTTTTTTATATGAAATAATATTTATTTACCTCTTTCATTCGACATCCTTTTTTTTAAATAACACCATTTTCCTTTATATATTATAAATACATTAGGGTGCCCGCTATTTATATATGAAAGATTTGTTCGGTAATTTTTTCCTATTGGTCTATGTATCAGATCTACAAATATGAGCTTCATATAACATGATTAAGAGGATGCGCTCTTAGCTTAAAGTTTTAGAAATATTCAAAATTTTGTACTTTTTTTTATTTTTTGGCTAAGTTTTTGATCTTATGGAAAAATGATAATAGGTTTTTTTGTGGATATTGTTATTTGTTACAGTTAATGTCTTAAATATTTTTTCACAAAGTTTGTCATTTCTTGTAAAAATATAAAAAACTATATATAATTCACATTTTACGAAAATAGCATTTCAAAGTTGGGATCTATATGAAAATCCCGGCCTACCAAATGGTAAAAGACAACCCTGGACTGTGAAAACTTCATCGCAGACTGAGAGTCCGAGATTTGTTATTATAGCTTTTCAAGTGGTTAGAAAAAACAAAATAAACAAAGATAGTAGTAGATTTGACCATTGTTCGTTATCATCTCTAAAAGTATACTTGAATTCGGAATCGTACCCCAATGACAACTTGCGAATGGACTTTCCAAATGATAAGTATGCTGTACCATATCACATGTACACTCGATTCCAAGAGACGTTCTATGAAAAGGAGATGGCGTGTCCTATGCTGACAAAAACAGAATTCAAGACAACTGCACCACTCATTGTCATTGACTGTTCAAGGCAAAACAAAAAATTAAAAAATGCGCCAATAAATATTAGATTAGAATTTGAATCTGATGAAAATTTTCCGACCAACACTACAGCATATTGCTTAATTGTACACGACAAAATGTTTGAATATAATCCTATGACTAATGAAGTTCATAAAATATTATAATTTGTTTTTTTTCAAAAATTAATGTAAAAGATTTTATTTATAAAACACTAATGGTTACTTAAATATATATTTGACTATTAAGAAAAAAAAATGTGTTATTTATTTTAGTACCTTATCGTTATTATATTTCATTTATTTCTTACATAAATCGAAAGCAGATAGTTTAAATAATAAAATACTATGTAAAAAAATAAATGCATATGAGAGTGATCGTGACTGTACGGTGATGCCTTTGATGTTGGAAATATGCTTACCTAAGTGTCTGGTAGTCGATGATAAAATTCTTAGAAATTATAGCTATACATTTAATAATACACAGACAGCGTCACAATTATTTCCCATAAAGTTACAGACGCTTATAAGCGTTATAATAATGTAATACCTTTGATATTGAATATTTGCTTACCTAAGCGTCTGGTGGTCGATAATAAAATTCTTAGAAATTATAGCTATAAATTTAATAATACACAGACAGCGGCACAATTTTGTTCCCATAAAGTTACAGACTCTTATGAGCGTTATAATATAATGATACCGCAAGGATGGTGAGTGGGTGAGGCGAGGGGGCCAGCTCTCTCCATTTTATCCTACTTAGGTCTATTTATTTAAAATAAAATATAAATAGTCAACATGAATAAATATAAAATAATTACAATGAAAAACTAATTTGGACAGCCATTTATGTAAACATAACTTATGCACTCTAAATTATGATGTAGTAAGGCTGTAACTTTTGTACTTTCACTCCATTCACAACCATTTTCACGAACAAATTTCAAACAGTCAATGGAACCACTCGCGACGGCTTCCCTCGTTATGCCTTCATCCCATCCACAACCATTATCATGAGCATATTTTAGGCAGTCTAAATGTCCATTCGAAGCAGCCCCTCTCGTCGTACCTTCGATCCAATCGCATCCATGTTGACGGGCAAATTTTAGGCAATCTAAATTACCATGTACAGCTGCCGAAACTATTGTCATTTCGTCCCATTCGTAACCTTTTTTATGAGCGTATTTTAAACATTCTAAATGGCCGTTGGCAGCAAATAACCTTGTAGTTATTTTATCCCATTTATATCCGTTTTCGTGAACATATTTCAATATTTCTAGCTTACCATTCAAAACGACAATTCTGTATGTGTCTTCGTCCATTGGATGTCCATTTTCGTGGGCATATTTAAAGATTTTTAAATCACCATTAAGAGCAGCTTGTTTCGTTATTGCTTCATACCATTCACATCCATTTTCATGTGCATATATTAAACATTCTAAATTACTATAATCTGCAGCTGCTTTTGTTGTATCTACATCCCATGGACATTTATTTTCATGAGCATATTTTAAGCAGTCCAAATGTCCGCCTTCTGCAGCAACTCTAGTCGTTCCTTCATCCCATTTGCATCCGTTTTCAAAAGCATATTTTAAGCATTCTAAATTACCGTATAAAACAGATTCCATTGTTGTACCTTCAGCCCAATGACATCCACTTTCATGTGCGTATTTTAAACATTCTAAATTGCCGTAATGTGCAGCTGCTGCTGTTGTCATTTCATCCCATTTACATCCATTTTCATGAGCATATTTTAAACAATCTAAATGTCCACCTTGTGCAGCGAATTTAGTTGTGTCATTATCCCATTTACATCCTTTTTCATGAACATATTTTAAACAGTCTAAATAACCAAACACGACAGTTGCAACCATTGTACGTTCAGCCCATTTACATCCGTTTTCGTGCGCATATTTTAACACTTTTAAATCACCATTAAGAGCAGCTTCATTTGTTACTCTTTTATCCCATTCGCATCCGTTTTCATATGCATATTTTAAACAACCAAAATTACTATGTTTTGCAGCTTTTTCTGTTACTCCTTCATCCCATGGACATCCATTTTCATGAGCATATATTAAACAGTCTAAATGGCCACCTTGTGCGGCAGCTCTAGTTGTTCCTTCACTCCATTTGCATCCGTTTTTGTGGGCATATATTAAGCAGTCTAAATGGCCGCCTTGTGCAGCCGCTCTAGTTGTTCCTTCACACCATTTGCATCCATTTTCATGGGCATATTTTAAGCAATCCAAATGTCCACCTTCTGCAGCAACTCTAGTTGTTCCTTCATCCCATCCCTTACCTTTATTAAAGGCATATATTAAACAGTCTAGATGTCCATTTGAAGCAGCAACAATCGTAGTGCCTTCAATCCAATCACATCCATGTTCATAGGCATATTTGAAACAATCTAATTTACCGTACTTGGCAGCTACAAGTAATGTTCCTTCATCCCATCCACAGCCATGTTCATGGGCGTATATTAAACATTCTAAATGTCCATTTCCAGCAGCAGCCCTTGTTGTTATTTTATCCCATTCGCAACCGTTTTCATGAGCGTATTTTATTATTTCCAGATTACCTGTAAAAGCAGCAGCACCAGTAGTCTTTTCATTCCACGGACATCCATTTTCATAAGCAAATTTTAACAATTTTAAATCACCCTTATTAGCAGCTACTTCCGTTATTATTTTATGCATTTTGCATCGATTTTCATGTGCGTATTTTAAACAATCAAAATTACCTCCATAAGCAGCATTTAAAGTCGTTTGTTCGTCCCAGCTGCACCCGTTTTCGTAAGCGTATTTTAAACATTCTAAACTGCCTTTTAGTGCAGCTGCTGCTGTTGTTGTTTCGTCCCAATCGCATCCATTTTTATGTGCATATTTTAAACATTCTAAATGCCCATTTGCTGCTGCAGTTTTTGTGGTTGTTTGATCCCATTCACATCCATTTCTATGAACGTATTTTAAGTGTTCTAAATTACCATACATTGCAGCTGCTTCTATTGTTCCCACATCCCACGGACATCCATTTTTATGAGCGTATTGTAAGCATTCAAAATGACCGCCTTCAGCAGCAACTCTTGTCGTTTCTTCATCCCATGCGCAACCATTTTCACGAGCATATATTAAGCATTCTATATGCCCATTTGCAGCGGCTTCCTTTGTAGTGTTCTTATCCCATTTACATGTGTTTTCGTGAGCATATTTTAAACATTCCAAACAGCCATTTTGTGCAGCTGCTGCAGTTGTTGTTTCATTCCAGTGGCAACCATTTTCGTGTGCATATTTTAAATATTCTAAATAGCCATTTTGTGCAGCTGCTGCTGTTGTTGTTTCATTCCAGCGGCAACCATTTTCGTGTGCGTATTTTAAACATTCTAAATAGCCATTTCGTGTAGCTGCTTCTGTTTTTCCCACATCCCACGGACATCCATTTTTATGAGCGTATTGTAAGCATTCAAAATGACCGCCTTCAGCAGCAACTCTAGTCGTTTCTTCATCCCATGCGCAACCATGTTCACGAGCATATATTAAGCATTCTATATGCCCATTTGCAGCGGCTTCCTTTGTAGTGTTCTTATCCCATTTACATGTGTTTTCGTGAGCATATTTTAAACATTCTAAACAACCATTTTGTGCAGCTGCTGCTGTAGTTTTTTGATCCCACTTACATCCATTTTCATGAACATATTTTAAATTTTCTAAATTACCGTATTTTGCAGCTGCTTCTGCTGTCCATACATTCCACTGACATCCATTATCATGAGCGTACATTAAGCATTCTAAATGTCCATTAGCAGCAGCAGCTTTTGTGGTTTTTTGATCCCATTTACCTCCATTTTCATATACGTATTTTAAACATTCTAGATGACCATTTGCAGCAGCTTTCTCTGTTGTATTTTCATCCCAGTCACATCCACTGTCGTAAGCTAATTTTAATGTTTCTAAGTCACCAATTGTAGCAGCTTTGCTCGTCGTACCTTTTTCAAATGGACAAATTTTTTTGTCTTGCGAATATCTATTTACAATCCCTAAATGAGCAAAACATTTAATTAATTATTGCAGTAATTGTATTTAATTTAGATTACCAAAAAATATCTTATTAATAGAGTGCATTTCAATTGAAATTATCTTTTTTTTTTTAATCTTATAAAATTTAATCTATAATATATATAATTATCCCTACAGCTGCTTTATATTTATCTAAAAAATAAGTTGTATTGTAAATCTATGAATTCAATACAAATCGGATACTACATATTAATAAATGTTTGCGAACTAAGAGTTTAGCTTATTTTCTAAAAAAGACTATGCAGAGGGAATGATACCTCACAAATTATCTCTGAAAATATAAGTTATCTTTTTTTTTTCAAAATAAAATATTTTGTTTCAACACAATTTTTTTATGAGAAATAAAATTTTTAATAATCCCTTTTTCATTCGACATACTTTATCTTAATTAGGATATTAATAAGGAAATAGCAAATCATGTAACTTTTGGAATAACCCTCCAATTTTTTAAAATCAAACACAATCTAAAGATTTGCATAGAAGCGTTTTATTTTGATAGTGATTTTAATCACTATCAGCTATCATTATACTTGATCCAACTATGCCACGTCACCATTGTGCCGCGACCTCCCTGTGTTGGGTTTTTTTATATTCGTAAAAATTATGATCTAAATTATTTTTATCATGTCAGGAATATTTATTAACGATACTTTTTAAAATAGGCACTAGTACTGAATTTACTTAATACCTACAAAAAGAATGAACCAATAAGTTAATACTTATTAGAGTCATTATGCTATCTTAACTATATGATATGTTAAGTAGAAAAAATGATACATGTTAAATCTATTCGTAAAAAATTATAAAGTTATATTTATGAACAATATAAAATTGCGCCTTTTAGAAAGGCTAGATACAAAAATAGTGCATTATTATCATTATTGTTATTATAAAAAAAATGTATAAACATGCGAAATCATGTTCGAGTATCGTATTACTGACTTGATAAATTTATTAGATTCGAAACATAATATTAAATAAAAATTAAAATAACAGGAAATTATCAGAAATCTTATTTTAACAAATTTTTATATTTTTATAATTTCTGGATGTTTAGAATCTATAATTCATGTTTTCAATATAAATTATTTTATGTATTTATGTTATTTAAAATATGTTACGTGTTATATATATGAAAAAAAACTGTTAATTATTTATTCTATATTTTATTTATTAAATCTCCTAAACTTTAAATAGTGATATCGCATTTAGAATTTATTAAAATTGTTTTTTTTTATGCTAAACAAGATTAATAAAAAAAATTGAGTTGCTATTTGAAAAACTAAAGTTGATATTGATTTGAGGGTTAAGGGATGAAAATAGAATCTTTATTTTTCCTGTCAAGTAGCTCAACAAAGATTAATAACAAATATAATAATTACATATATGATAACCCTAATATTTTTAAAGAAAATTTATTAGGCGTAGTAAGTCAATCATTCTGTATATTAGTAAATGAGAATTTAACAAATAAATATGTAAATATTAAGTTAAATGTATTTACTTTATTTAATAAGAATGAATTCATATAGGAATAGGAAAATATATTATTGAATATTTTTTAATTCAATAACTAAGGGGCATGTAGTATTGGGTCCGTTTAATACGTGAGGATCTTGGTCCAAACCTTTAGGGACACACGCAATCGTGTACATTAGTTACTAGAAAGATATCATATAATTAAGTTAAACTATTGTTTTATTTCAACGACAAAACGACAACGTTTAAGTTACGTTATATTCTAAATGTTCAGTAAATATAAGTTATATGTTATATCCCTTATGTTTAAATCAGTATCAACTTCCAATTTTCAAATGGTTATCCTATTTTTTTTTTTGTACATCATCAGATTAGATTTAGTGTAAAAAAAAATTTTTTTTTTATTCAATTATCAGCGAGGTATTCATTAAAATTTAGGGGACGTGATTATTACTCACATTTATAAATGAAGTGCGTCTTTTACGTCACAGTACAATTCACTGATAGATCTTATATGTTCATTAAATATTATTGTTTCTGTATATACCCGACTACTGTTTTATATGTTAAATCCGCGAAAATTAGCGTTTATTAAATTTTGTAATTTTTTTTGAAGATTTCGCCCATTTATGGGAATGAGGGAAATTTTTTCAATTTTTGGGTGTTATTTCTTCGACTAGATACGATTTGTGATCTTTCGGCGTATTGCTAAAAAAAATTGGTTGGGCTTTATGAAAATAAAAAATTGTATTGGTAAGATAATATTCTTTTAGGAAATTTTAAAATTACTATTTATAGTAAATTTATCAGTAAAGTTTAAAATTTGTTTGCATTTTTATAGTAATAAAACACTTAAATAGAATTCACATTAATTCACACTCCTAATATCCTACTTAATGAATTGAAAGAAATCCGTCTTAATTTACTATCAACCCTTGAACTCCTAGTTTCTATCTATTCTACAAGTCTAACTGATTTTTTCAAGGTAACTACAATTGATATACTATATAATAATTATACAGTAATTTAAGTAGTGTTTCAAACACTACTTCCATTTTAGTGGGGGAGGGGGGTGTTATTATTACTTAGATTACTTTTATTATTATACTACAATTATAATAACATATCATCATAAATTGTATTGTTATCGAGGTCGGGCTATAAGAATGTGTTTATAAGGTATTTTCGGAGACAGCGACTGTTGTAATTCAGAGCATCGTTAGTCATTTGACAATTATTGTGCAATTAGTATTACTTATTACTTTTTAATAAACTAATTAATTATTAATTCGGCAATACTGTTTTATTCTATTTTATTTGTTACTTTCGTAACATTAATATGGTTGATTATTACGGGGAGATATTAAAATATTAATCGGGTTATTTGACACATACTATCGAGATAAATAAGGAATATAATATTAATGTTTGCTTCGCGTGTAATGATTATTAATCTTGAAATTTAACTAATTTAGCTAATATTTAGCTAATCATATTTTAGGTAATTAATATGATCAAGAATGTTCTACTATATTTAGAGTAAAAAGTATCAAAAATAAATTTTTTTACCAAAAAATTTATAATTAAGTTATAAATAAGCTATGATTTAGTACAATTATTAAAATTTATTGAATATTACAAACTAATTAATTTTTTTATCATAACATAATAATAGTATTTAAAAGAAAATTGTACACTAAACAAATTAATTAATTAAAAACATAGGTCCCATAGTAAAAGGGAAAATATAGAGAACAAAAATACTACAGTCAATTATTTAAGTTAAGAGAAACAAAAAAAAATAAAAGTAGTGATGAAACAAAAGACTCAAGAGGAATATGTATACAAGATATCAGAGGTTTAAGATAACTCCATAAATCATAAAAGTATATAAGTTGAAATTTATTCAATTAATATTACTTCAGCCGGTAAAATACTTTTTAATTATACTAAACATTATATTCATATAAATGTATGATAATAGTGATTTACCACAGTCATGTATTGCAAGCTGTATATAGACAGTTATGCATCCAATGGCATAGGTATTCTCTCCTAAAGAGTAATACTAACTTTGTAAGTAATATTAAATAAATTTGTTGGGATGTCCAAGTCCAGATAATTGTGAGGTAGTATCATAAACATGACCAAGCCAAATTGATAAATTTACTCCTCCATCGGGGATTTGTAAAGAAACGTCAAAAAACTTAATGAGACGATGATGAAGAGAGTGATGATGATGATGAGAGTGATGATGATGATGAGAGATATTTCTTTGAACATAACCGTAATTTTGATGCCGCTTTGATCACTAACGGGAGAGGGTACTTGACAGTGTAACCGTTGACAGATGTGATATATAGGATGAGGATCACAGGTGGTAGGAAACATGTCTCAATTTAATAAGTAAATAAAAAAATTAAGTTACTACGAGGCAAAAAACCGAATGGTCAAAAAACCTCGTCTACAAATTAAAGAGGAACAGAGAGAAAAGAAAAAAAAACAGATATTAATAAAAAAAAATACTAGTTACACCTACACTTTTNAAGTTACTACGAGGCAAAAAACCGAATGGTCAAAAAACCTCGTCTACAAATTAAAGAGGAACAGAGAGAAAAGAAAAAAAAAACAGATATTAATAAAAAAAAAATACTAGTTACACCTACACTTATATTACTAGAGAATACGATGAACGTCTTCGGGTACCCACCGACTATTAATCGCGGCATGACCGCTAATAATACGTGGGTATACGCCCCAAGTAAGCGACTGGTTTTAGGCAGTTAGACTTAGCTTGCAAGACGTTGGGACACCCCAGAATAAAATGCACTACGTCACCACATAGTACCAATAATATATACATATCACCCATAAAATATAATATAAAATCTATAAAACAATCACAAAAAAAATATTGATATGAAATGACAGGGGGTCTTGTAATACGCCTGCCATGTTGCGGGACCTAAATAAAAAATAGGGGGACCTAAAAAAAATTCGCCACACGTGCTTATGGCACAGCGCACTAAAAAAAAAAAAAAAAAACTGGCTCAAAACATTAAATACTAATTATACATTACCAGACCCGAAGGGCTACAGAATATGAGGCAGGCTCAACCGACGCCAATAAAAAAAAAATCACATTTTGAAATTATAGTAGCGGACACTCACGATTATATATAAATTATAATGTTGCAGCGCACACAACAACAACAAAAAAAAACTCACACTACGGACGAAAATTAACCGACAACCAGTTCCGATAATGGCTAATATCCGACAAAACATCCGGCGTTTGACCCGGTGGTCCGTTGGCGACAACACGGCTAGCCTTTAGAGTAGGGGTCAAAAAAAATTAAATACCCAGTGCCGGAAATTACTAAGAACAATTTGAATCATAAAGCGACAACGTATGCGGTGAGCAGTGCAAATGACGTTCAAGATAGGAAAGGAGCGGGGTGAATGTACACACAAATGCCGTCCATGAACGGTCTGAAGTAGTACACAGCTGACTATCTCGCGCGCGCACAAACTGATAAACGCCGTCGCAGTACGCATTCGGCTCAACACAAATATATATATACATATATACAAATAAAAAAAAAAAAAATAGATACTTTTTGTCACGTTACAAAATATATTTGATAAATGTAATAGGTATGAATAATGTAAAATCGAATTTACCTCCACTAAATATAAAAAAGGAAGTTATTAACAAAAAATGTATTAATTGCCAGTGCTCAAAAAAAAAAAAATAATAACCTTTTAAATTTAATCGAGTAATTCAAATAAAGTGAATTAAGTCGTTTATTAAAATAAAGTCAAATTACTGACCTCCATTTTTATTAGTATACAATGGATAACATAATTATGCATTGTATAACTTATTTTAAATTTGTGTATTTCATTATTTTGTGAAAACTCGTTGTTTACTACTCATGTTTGGGTGTAAAATTGGTATAAATTAATAAATATTGTGTAAATGTACTAACAACAAATTAATAATGGTTAGTATTGTTTTATACAATTAGTATGTTAGTAAATTTAAATCCCTATGGAGCTTTATTTTTTAAATAAATGTTAACTTAATAAAATTGTTTTAAGAAAATGATTCAAATATTTGATATTAATTATTAAATATATTTGATAAATTTAATAGGTATAAATAATTAAAATTGAATTTACCTTCATTAAATACCAAATAGGAAGTTATCAACAAAAAATATATTAGTTGCCACTGCTAGAAAATATGAAATAACCATTTAAATTCAATGGAGTAAATCTCATAAAGTGTACTCACCTTCATTTTTATTCGTCTTCTTTTTACTTGTGTTATAAGTGTTATATTCTGAATAACTATTGATAAATTGCTCATTAAATAGGCGAATATATATAAAAAGTCATCATCATAATCAATTATTTGTTTAAATTTTTTAATTTAAAAATATTATTTTACGTAAATAATAATTTAAACTTTATTATTTACTTAATTATTTTAGTTAACCTATTCAAATTGGTTTTAACTGTAAACATGAAAAAAAGATGGCCAAATTGGCATTGATTAATCACATTTTTAANTGATAAATTAATATAATTAATTATTAAAATAATTATACGGAACTAAAAAATACCAAAAAGAATTTTCCTAATATAATTATTATTTTAAGATAAATTAAGTAAATTATACTAAAAAAATCGCTCTATATATTTTATTATGTATATTTAAAAAAGATAATACTTAATATTTGTCATAGAAAGTAATTTTTTATAATAATTTACATTTTTTCTCCAAAAACAAATTCACCTTTTATATGGATAATAAAAATAATCTTTGTCTAATTGTTATCTTGATCTGAGACAAAACTATATTATTATTTATAAAGTAACTTGTAATTTAACTGAATTTACTCTTTCTACTAAATAACTCGTAACTTAGAGAACACAAGGAAGTGGCACGTCTTCTTCTTCTTCAGCTTTTATAGGCCATTAAGGCCCATCACTGCTCCATACAGACTCCTCCATTCCTCTCAATCATTTGCTACTTCTTCCGGGTTTTCAACCCCAAGTATCCTAAAATTCTGGTTAAAATCGTCTATCCACCTTTTCTTTGGTCTTCCCAATGTTCTCGTGTCTTCTGGTTTCCAGTTAAGCGCATCCTTCATTATGCCATTCGATCTCCATACGTGCCCAAATCAGCTCATTTTTCTTTCTTTAAGTGTTTGTATGATGTCCTCTTCTCCTAACAGGTCTTCAATTTCCTTATTGGATCTTATTTCATATTTACCTGTTTGATAATTTTTTTAGGACCAAAAATGCGTCGTAAGAATTTCGTTTCTAGTACTGCTAGTTTTCTTTCGTCCCCTTTCGACGTTGGCCACGTTTCGCATGCGTATAGAATTACTGGTCTAACTAAAACCTTGTATAATCTCATTTTTTATTTTCTTGATAATACCTTGGACCTGAAGGTTTTCTGTAACGCGAAATAACATCTGTTTCCAGCTTTTACTCTCAGGTTTATTTTCTCTAGTTAAATATTGTGACTATATCCACTCCCAGATATTTAAAGCTTTCTACTTTTTCGAAACAATAATTTTCAATGTTCAAATTTCTGTTTTGGTGTAGTTGATTACCTCTTTCAACTACCATATATTTAGTTTTCGCTTCATTTATCGTTAGCCCCATATTAAACGCTCTGGTTATTAGCTCCTTCGTAGTGGTTTTAATGTCCTCTTTATTCGATCCAAATATCACTACATCATCAGCGTAGGCTAGTAATGCATGTACTCTTTCATTAAAACTGACACCATTTGTTGTTTCTTGAATCTTTCTAACAACCTCCTCTAGGGCAATGTTAAATAGTGTCGGTGACAGGGCATCCCCTTGTCTTAAACCTACTGTTGTCTCAAATTCTTCTGAGTAATAGTTTTCGAATTTGAATTTTACATCTTAATCCCTCAATGCATGCTTTCAGCATTTTAACTAGTTTTGCTGGTATACCGAACTTTTTCATGCTTTTCCACAGTGATTTTCTCTTGATAGAATCGTATGCCTGCTTAAAATCTATAAACAGTATGTGTAATGACTTATTGTATTCGTAATGTTTTTCTATTAATTGTCTTAGTGTAAACACGTGGTCAATTGTAGATTTTCTTGGTTTAAAGCCGCATTGGTATTCACCTACAATTTCTATCGTATATATAGTTTTAGTCTATTTAATAAAACATTTGATAATATTTTATAAGCTGCATTGAGTAGCGATATACCCCTGTAATTATAATAGTCTTCTGGGTCCCCTTTTTTATATATGAGGCATATTACTGCTACCTTCAATTCTTCTAGTATCTGTTTTTATGTGAAGTGGCACGTACCTATATAAAAGCTAATTATAATAAATTTGTTTAAAAAGGGATAAAAAACCCAGCACAGAGGGGTCGCGGCACAGTGGTGACGTGGCATAGTTGGATCAAGTATAATGATATCTGACAGTGATTAAAATCACCATCAAAAATAAACGCTTCGATGCAAATCTTTAGATAGTGTTTAATTTTAAAAAAATTGGTGTTTTATTCCAAAAGCTACTTGATCTGCTGGTTCCTTATTAATATCTCGATTAAGATAAAGTATGTCGAATGAAAAAAGGTTTATTAAAAAATATTATTTCTCATAAAAAAATTGTGTGGATCCATAAACTTTTCAATGAGTTATAGCATTATAAAGTTAAATATAATATAAATAATAAAATCGAAAATTTTCACACAAAAATAGCATTCGGTAGCCGTTTTCACCATGAAGACAAGTCCAGAGGTCAAATTTTTTTTTTNTATTATTACACTGTAAGTAATTGAGTGGGTTATGATAAAAAAATCACTCTGTATAACTAAGCGCCTAGTTTTAACACCATACGTCTTCTGAGACGCGCAGTGAGGTTGACTTAAGTTGACAAATCTATAAGTTATAGAGTTAAATTAAAGATGATTCTAATAATTAATTAACAGTTAATAAACCAAGAAATATAAATAACTGAAAAAAATAATCTTTTTTCATTACTATGTTAATTTTACAAGTAATTAAGTGATTTAAGGAATACCGATAACTAGTATGATTGAATTACAAAATCACCAAAGAATTATAAAAACTACTTACAATCACCATCAGATGGAAATCCGTTTGGTGAGAGCTGAGAAAATATGGTACCAAAAAAAAAAAAAAAAACACATCATAGTAAAACCAATACCTTCTCAGCTTCGCATCGAAGCTAAAATAATAATTATACCAATCAATTATGTCACTCATAAGGTGCATGTTCAGTTATATTAATATATTAATAAAATAACAGAAAATAAATATAATTTGTGCATCTATGTTTGTACAATTCTTATTTCTCTGATATTTTTATGAATTTTATTTATTAGATAAATTATTTGTGATGTATACAAGAACATTTATTTTTATCATAGTATTATTTTAGAAATATACATTTATTAATGATTATTAGAATAAAAAAGCTCATTGTTATTAATTATTTGAATGAAGAAAATTTACTATAAGAATATAATTGTATTTAGTTACATGATTTAATTTCTAAATTAATATCAATTCCTCTTCTACTTTTTTTAAGGATCAAAAATATTGTAAAAACAGATTATATCGTTAAAAGTGTATTAAGTGGAAGGCTTCATTCGAACTCCAAAATTTTCCTAAATGAGAAAATATTTTCTAAATTATAAATTAAATAAGAAATATGAATTCTCGGAAGAAGTTTCTAAAACCAATATTTTGGCACTAATATTAAAATCATTTGTAAAAAAAATTAGAAATATATAAAAAAATTTTTATAAATATTTTTGTTATACTTCATAATAGTAGCCAACACTTTTTATTTAACCGTAAAAATATTACATTTCCATAATGAAATAATGAGTATATATAATACGAATTAAATATAAATAGTAATAAGGGATAAAAAAATTAAATCTATGCACTAAACTTATTTTCGCTAACTGTTATATCAATAAGAAGAGCTTAATTATACAACACTTATGCATTATACAATATCTGTAAAATAGTTATGTATATATCATAAATATTTAAAAATGAATGTTTGATTAAACTAAAAAACGCTAAATAAAAATTTATTGAATCAATGAAATATAATACGTATTATGAGAATAACTTTATAAGTATTGTTTAAAAACTATTACTTTTAATTCATAAACTTCTTAAATTTTTTTTTTATAAAAAAAATAGTGATTAGTAAAATTTTGTGAAAACCAAGTACATAAATATTTTATCAAACTAAAATATTATAAAACACTAATAACTAAAATAGTATATTCTAATTAATTAATAACAATATTTAAAAACGGTAGCACAGTGGGGTCGCGGCATAGTGGAGACATTGCATAGTAAGGTCCAGTATAGATTTAATCTGACAGTGATTAAAATCACTATCATAAGAAACGCTTCGATGCAAATCTGTAGATAGTGTTTAATTTTAAAAAATTGATGGATAATTGCAAAAGCAACATCAACTTCTATTAAAATAAAATACAAAACCCATAATTATCATACAAAAATAGTATATTTTTCAATATGGTAGCCATTTGCGTATAGAAGATAGATCGTCGGGACAAATTTTTTTTTT